ACTACACACATCATATACAAACTATATATACCAACTACCACTCATCATTCATAAACAACTAACACACATCATTATACACGACACCACATCATAATACAACTACAACATTATATACACACATCATATAAAACTACCACACCAATCATAACACACCACACATCATAACCAACTACAACACATATTATACCACCACATCCTCATATAAAATACACACTCTAAATAACTACAAATACATCATAAAATTACTATAAACTACAAACACATCATATATTACTAGTAGCCATATCAATAAGCTACACATCTAAATACTATACTTATTACTACGGCTTAGGTTTGATACTCGGATTCTGATTGGTCAATCAAACACGGGTACACGTTGACCAGAACCGCCTGCAAGCAACTTATGAACCGTTGTTTTAAGACCGCTCACATCTGCCGAAGAAGAGAAATATAATAAGGAACCGTTCGAGAGGAATTTAGAGAACGAAACGATGGGAGGATAACTCCAACTAAGCACTGTCACTGGGTAAAACCACTTTTTTCTACTCTCCTGTACACAGGACCGGGTTATATGCAGAGGCACCCACTATTAAGACCGTATGTTACAATAATGCACAAAGCATTCGTCCTCTGTGTAGGGATCTGTTGTGTCTTTAGGCTTTAACAAAACATTTGGAAACAAATGTTGGATTATGTATTCTCATGCATTATCTTTTGGGTTCCAGTCGTACTCCTGATATTGGTCGCCCAACCATAACCATATGTTGGGCGGGGGACACTGTATCAGTCTTAAACCCTCAGCTTGAGAGAAATGGTGGATGTTGTCTGCCAGGAGTTGGAGGTGTCACTACTTCTGTATACTAAAAAGCCAAAGGGGGATCAGACAGGCCTGGAGACGGGACACACCTCGGGCTTCACCCCTGCTAGGACGCATGCGGGACGTCCTGCAGGAGAAGAATAACTCAAAGGCCCAAGTGTTCATACTGCAGAAGAGGGTGGCTTAATTGGTAGACTAGAAGGTATGATCCTTAGATAAAGACTGATCTTAGCTGTACATTCCACTCAGTGCAAAAGGATTAAACAGGATCCTACCTCTTCCCAACAGCTCGCGCAGTGAGAGTTACAGAGGATTGACGTCAGGCCCATGAGTGTCGCTCCATCCCTCCTTCCACCGTCGGCCACTTCAACTGATCAGTTGTTTATATCTTTTGTGAAATTAGACGCCTGTGGTGAGCTCATGAATCCGACTTGACTGTGTACACCTTTTTTATAATTCACCAAAGTGTACAAGTGTGTCAAGAATGAACGTCCCCCGCCTGCTCTCTCGCCTTCCTCTGAAGGACTTTCCCGTGTATATTTTCAGCATAGTATCCTAACAGATGTTATCGAGAGAGGAGCATTAACAAGTGAAAGGACCACGTCTGGGATTGGGACAGGGTGTAATTTGCAAGAAACAACATTCAAAGTTCCAGGTCTTCTCCGTCCACCGCTGTGACATCACCAGACGTTCCACAACCACAGTTCAAAGTTAAGCTGCTTGACAATTCCCGATGGAAGCAAACCCCAGATTCAATTTTCTGTGGCATCTCTGCATGTCTTGTAATGCCCAGAAACTCGCTCCCAAACAGAGCGAAAATTAAAAAGAGTGAAAAGGCCGAGGAAAACAACCACACAATTGGCATATTGACAAATGGCATTACTCTTATTATAACAAGCCTACTTACACTCGCTTTTGAAGAGAGATTTATATACTAGATTTCTTCGCCCTTTCTTTTCTGATTCACTGATCGACGCGTCAGGTCACAGTAGATGTTATAATATCGAGAATAGCTCATCAATATAAGGATATAATAATGTCCTACCAATACTCCTCTACAAATTATAGGTACTAAAAATAATTACAGATTATGCTTCATCAAGGCATAAAAGAAGTGGACGGATGATCCAAAGAGTTGCATTCCCCAGTGTGTTTTTGTCTTGACTAGCAAACTCAAATAGCTAGTGAATAATACAGAACTCACCAAGCAGCCATATACCAAATAACAATGCTGGAGGCAAGGAATACAACAAATCTTGAATTATGGTTTATAGGTACAGTAACCACATAGGTTATATTACAATTTAGACGGATGGTGGTTTAGCAAACATGTGTTAGGACGTTGACATGCAAAGGATATCTTTTTTATATTTTTAAATCCATTGTTCTGGATCTCAAAAGCTCAATGGGTGTAGGAAGGTTCATCCAGCGACCTGTTTTGCTGGCTTGGCATAAAAGGGTTAATATTCGTTAATTTGGAACACATGACCTCCTTTATGAAGAAACATTGGAGAAAGCTAATTTGGTGGCAGCAGCAGAGCGAGTGGGAGTGTGTCTGTGGAGGAGGTCAGTCAGGTAGGATGGGGCCAGGCTATGGAGGGCTTTGTACATCATTAGGAGGATTTTGTACTGAATTCTCTGGGGGATGGGGAGCCAGTGGAGCTTGATGAGGACGGGGGTGATGTGTTCATGGATTCGGGTGTGGGTGAGTAGACGGGCGGCGGGGTTCTGGATGTATTGAAGTTTGTTGAGGATTTTATTAATCTAAATCTAGACTAAATGTCCCTCCTGCCAGGATCTTCACTGCCATAATGCCGATGGTGGCAGCCGGTTTGATTGCAGAGGACCCGACATCGCTGCCAATCAGAAGACTTTACTTTGTATGACCTCAGATTAAATCGTATTGTGCTCATACTTTTTCTCACATCGCGCAAATGCCGGTGTTTCTCTCAACAAAGTGTGTCAGTAGACATAAAACTGCATGAATGACCGAGGTCAACAATAACATTGTGTAGCATTTAAGTGGTAAGAGCTTTAAATCAACCTATGTACTACTTAATATGTAAGATAACTGGCAATACCTGGACATTATTATGTTGATTTATGACCTCTCAGGATTTTATAGCTTCATAAAAAGTCTCTAACTGCCAATGTGTCACTTTATATTTTACAAGAAAAAAATCATGTGCCTAATTTGGTGTTACTTTGCACATGCTGCTGTAATGTCAACACGTTTTCATTACAATGCTTTTTCCAAATAGAGAAAAAGGGGTCAATGCGTTCTCCAAAAACTTTAAACTGACAAGGAACACTTCTGTTATTTATGTTTAAGTGATGTTAAGATGAATCTGATTATATAGCAAATGATTGTTAAAGTATGATCATCAGAGACTGTTTTAGATAATGTACTTAGGCCCATAATTGATGAAAAAAAGGTACTGCAGAGAGGCACCTCACCCTGCGTTCCTTATCCAACAATAATTGTGAGTAATATAAAATATTCTTTAACAACCGATGTGATCTGGGTTGCACCTGAGAAATAATGCTTGTTCAGAATAAAGTCATATTTTTATTTTTCATCTTTTGAATGTTGTTATTGGGATACGATACAATGTCTCAGACTACTGGTTTATATAAATAACTATAGCGAATATACAAAGAATAGAGACGGAAAATGCATTCCAAAATTAACAGTTGTTGGTGAGTACTATCTTATGGATAAATATAGGTAGGGTTCCCATTCATTTCCTATAGAGGTTATTTTTGAAAGGGAACATCATAGGTGTTACAAAGTTGACTAAACCACTCAAAATGTTATAAAAGTGGTCAGCACTTGTATATGTTCAGATGCCTACTGTGGAGGACATCATAAGGCCTTGAGGCAAATGTAAAACGTCATATTTATGATTGATGGAAGTAGTAAACCAAACACGACAGGAGGGTTAAGTAAAAGTCACTTAAAATTGTACTTGAGTGTTTGATTAAATATAATTTTCCATTTAATAATACTAAATATAGTATACTATACAGCACAATATATAAATAGGATCAACATAGATACAACGGAAATGATAAGCAGTGTAAGTGGGTAATTGAGAGAAAGAAGAAGGCTGCAACAACATTTTTAAATCACGTGCTTTCTCACCTGATACAGAGACACGTCAAAAACAAAGAGCTCTCACTCACACCGTCTACACATTACCTACATTTCATTAACTTGGAAAAGACGACCATAGTTTACGAAACGCCAGTGTTGAGGAGGGAGTCCTCTTGAGTTGATATACGATCTTTGTACTCACCTGTCGCTAGGATACTTTGCCCTCCTCTGCCGCCACGCCATTGGTGGACGAGTGATGGGGGAAGTGCTGCTGTAAGTTAGTTACCTTCTGCCAGTAAAACTGTACAACCGAAGACAAACAGAAAGAAGAAAACTAAATTTTTAGAGCATTGTAGGGAAACAGTGCGGGAAAAAATCACTTTATTCTGACATTCAAACATTTTTCCACCATGGAGTTTGGTGAAGAGTCGTCGCCTGCTCTGGCTTTCGATAAGGACGCGTTTGAGCTGACGGTGGAGGATGTGTATGATATTTCATATGTAATCGGTCGAGATTTGTTAAAAATCCGCAGCAAAGGCGAAGAAGTGTCGGACTTACAGTTCAGGATAGTCCGCGTGTTGGAAATGTTTGAAACTTTAGTGAATAAGTACAACTTGTCTCTGGAGGAGCTGAAAATGGAGCGAGACAACCTGAAGAGTGAACTGGACCGGATCCTGCAGGAGAGATCATCTGGACAGGGGACGGTGAGTAACTATAATAATAACAAGGTATTTACTTTTAGTTTATTCCCCTCATGGCAATCATTATAAAACATGGACACTTTACGCCGTTTTTGCAGCACATGATGGAAAGTACCAGGGAGGAGAACATCTTATTTTACTTGCCCCTTATTAAAGAATAAATACAAATAATAATCGATAGTCTGTCAATCACAGCAGTTTACAAACACTTACAGTAAGATTTAAAACAATCCTAAGTTAACACAACAATCTACCATAAGCAAAACAGGTTACCTAACATCTTCATACGGTCTCATTATTCTTTATACATTTAATCAAACCTAAAGTTGTTCATACAGCCCTTTAAATCATTTGGTAAATAATTCCACAGTTTAACACAAACTACAGATTTACAGATCTGCTTTAAAGTGGTCATATATTTACTTATCATTTACTGTTGTAACTGATGATAATAAGCTTTATTTGTATAGCATGTTACACACATCAGGTGCAGCTCAAAGGGCTTTAACAACATGGCACACATGACAAGTCAAAACAAAAAAGAAGAAATTCACTTCAGGTCAAAACCCCTTTTTGCACACATGCAGCACAACAACAACAACATATACGTTCAAGGGACACAGGGAGGTTAAAGGTGTGATAGGTAAAATATAATAAAATAAACAATGATCCATCTCGGTAAAGGTAGACATAAGATAACAAATAATAAAATATTAAAGCCTATGAAATAAATAAAGCAAAGATAAGATGAAAGACACATTTTAAAGGGGATTTTGCAAATAGAATTATAAAATAATTAAAACCTATAACATGAATAACTTATAAGAATAAAAAAGATTAGAAGACCCATTAAAATAAAGGGGGGTATCGCTATAACAAGCAAATCTAAAAACATGTGTCTTCAGAGTGTTACTCTCCTACTTGTCAAACATAAAGTAAACATGTTAAGACATATGGTTTTCTCCTCTCTGCCATTACAGCAGACAGCGGGTCCGAACCAGCTGCTGGTGGACCTCACGGACCCCAACAGACCGCGCTTCACCATGCAGGAGCTGAAGGAGGTTCTGCAGGAGAGGAACCAGCTCAAAGCTCAGCTGATGGTGGCTCAGGAGGAGCTGCAGCTCTACAGGAGGTCAGGGGCTTTTCACTATAAAAAGTCAAGGAGTAGTGAGAAATATGCATCACAGTTTTTGGATGGCTGAACTCCAAATGTTGCACTTTCCCATTATTTAATGAAAAACTATTTAAAAATATTTATATCTGAATTGATTATCAAAGTAATTGGAGATTATTATTCTGTTGATCGATAGCTCCAACCCAAAGCTAACTCTAAAGCACTGGTTTATGAAATTCATGTACACTCTTATGCATTGTAACTGCATTATAATGTAAATATAATGTTTAATTATTCATTAAAGGAATTGTTTTAGTGTGTTTTTATGTTATTCTTTCATAGGTGTGTGTTTTAATGTTGTGAGCCAGACACTACCATCATGTGATAGACATGCACGTCAATACAGCACCTCAAACCAGAGCCGTATCAACACCTCTCTGACACAATGACATCAGAACTGAACAATATAACCTTTCAGACGGGATTTATGGCGGAGCTGATGTGAATTGTTAAGGTGTTGGTAATAAAGTTTGGTTACTCAGTGGGAACATAAACAAATATAAAATCTGAATTGAGCTGCTTGTTCTTGTTTTGATGATCATTTCCATGAGAATGAGAGAATGCCCTTTAGAGATCATCTGTGGTTAGATACAAAATCATCATTAGTACTCATCTTACGCTAATGACGCACACTGACATTTTCAAAATAAACACCAATACACAGTTTTATCCCACCGATACCTTCATTACTTTCTCAGAATTAAACATTCTGTTTCTCAACTTGTCAATTGTAATCCTGAAGTAAAGCACAACAATATGACCAGTAGAAATGACCTGGTTACCTTTAATCTAATCATACCTGATAACAAGTTTGATTCTAGTTCTGAAGGGTGAATTAAGAAGTACATCTTTTGAATATATCTTCAACTTAAAAGGGTGGATTTTGGATGTGCAACACCTTTGTATAAAACAATCCTCAGTGACCATAAAGCTCTACTTTCTCCTGCAGTGGGATTCTGCCCCAGGCTGAACCTGCCATGGTGGAAGTGGATCTGGACACACCAGCGCACACAGAGCACAGTAAAGCCACGATAAGTAATGCAAAAGAGGAGAAAACCACCATAGGCAAACTGTGAGTAGACCAAACAAGGTTCACTCATTGTCGCCTCTAATAATGCCTCGAGTAAGTCATTTGAAAGAAGTACCACCAAGTAAACCCACTTATTTGTAAAGGCGCCCTACATCATAACTGTTTTTCAATCAATATACTTATAACAGGTCTCTGAGATATAATCATAAGCAAGACACTTTTCTTACGCGTTTGGCTCCGCAAACACCAAAACACGATCATTGCGCATTAGCGCCACCATTTCCGTACATAATCACGCCTCTGTTTCAGCCACACTGGTTTCCAATATGTGGCATGAGTTTCCTCTGAGAGAGTCTGTTCTACCATCATCATAGACAATACCAGGAGCCCTCCCACGCCGCGCTTCTGACACGAGTTTGGTTTAAAAAGAAACTCAAATAGGTGCTCTACGGAGTGCGACGACACTTACAGCAAGGGTATATACCAGGATGTGGCCACTCACGGAGCGCGAGAGGCGGGGGGGGGGGTACCTTGGTTGTTGATTGGCTAATGGTTACACAAGCCAAAAAATCGTTATGACATCATAAAGTGGCCAAAATCTGATCAGCTTTTTGTCTGACAGGTTTTTATAGAAATGGATCAGGACAAAAAGAGAGAGAATCTTTTTTCCTGAAACTTTCAGAGTCTCTTTACACAGAGGGGACACATGTTGATGTAGAAGAGACATGAACAAGTGGATTTAGCATAATAGGTTACCTTTAAGCCGTTTACTGCACATGGCAAGGTTTCAGGAGAAATGTCCTCAGCAGCCACATGATGTTGAAGCTCGCAGAGAGATTGTTCTCACAGCCCGTCTCCTGTCTCCTAATGATATACTTGTGACCGAATGAGTTCATGCTGACGCGGAGGAAGCGTCTGAGGGCTGAAAGAGAAAAGGTTGGAAAATAGCAGAATGTCTGCCAAACTACTGCAGCTGTCACTAATTACAGTCTGCCATGACTCAGTGTAGCCTTCTCGCTCTGGGTAGCTTTATTATTTATGTTGCTTTTGTCCCCTCCACCAAGCTCAGGAACAAACGTCCTAAACTAACCCTCGCCCTTTTCTGTCTTTAGGTTTTCATTCAGGCGAAAATAAGGAAAACCTTCCTTAAGAGCTGACGATGTAGAAGACAAACGGGATTTGTCTGCACGGTTTTCTCATTAGTTGACCACTTTTATATTGATCATTTTGTACTATTTTCAACAAGCACTGTATTATGTACTGGTCATTTATACCGAAGACGGTTTATAGTCAAATAGAGAGTAGAAATATATATTATGTGGAAAGTTTTCCTGATATGAAGTAAAACTGGAAAGTATTATCCAATTCATGTTGGAGATTATGCTAAATAATTAACTCAAAACAAAGTTATTTATAGGATTGAGAATGTAATGTTTTATAAATCTAAATTCATTCTACAACGGGACGCATGTTGGTCTTGTAATGTAACAATATTTGTTCTCAACTGTCAAATAAACAAAAGTGGGCCTCAACCCTCGACAATCATAAGAATAGTTTGGTTCAATTTGTTATGTTTTTTCTCTGGTATGAAATAATAAAAGTGTTTTTCACAGCGATACAGGTTCTGATTGTCTAAATAGACTAATCTTAGACAGATGTAAACTAAAAAGTCACATTCAAGAATGAAGACTTTCCTGAGATGTTACTTCGTTGGATTAACAGCACAGTGGAGAGCAAAGATGAACAAAACTTTTATTCAATCAAGTCTTCAAAACCCAGATACTATAAAAAGTTGTCATACTTTTTCTCTTTAAAGCTGTGGGCGTCTCATTGTAAAGTAAAACAAAATAGATTGTTCATTTAGTAAAGTGTGCAGCACTGGCAAACAAAAGAAACATTGTTGAAATTCATCACGTGCACTCACAACATATCGACCAACTTCTTCATCCTCACTGACTGAATATTGGGCAGCCTGACAGCTTATAGGTTACACAAACAGTCTATGGTGCATACTACCTAACTACTGCCCCCACATCTCCACACAGACAAGTACCAGATACGGGTCAAAATAAGTGGAAAAGGGTGTCTTTTAAAGAGCACAGTATTTCATGAATATGCCTTCTTTACCACCAACAGCAGGAATACAAATAACAGGGTTTTATTCCTTCGTTTACAGCACAGGTAACAATTTACAAAAGTGAAACTGAATTGTTAAATATATTCATTTCTTAAAGAAAACCTCATTGATAGTGTAAAACACTACGTAGTCAGGAGAAATCCACTTCAAGCTTGCATCAGTTTGCTACAAATACATAACAAAAATAAAAGCATGATAAAACACTGACAAAAATCCACTTGTTGATTCATTAGCCCTCATTTAAAACAAAAACATTTTGTATATTTATAAAAGCATTTTGAGGCCTGCTGATCCAAAGCATCTGTCACATAAAGCCCAATAGGACCGCAGAGAGCACCAAGTCATCTGAAATATGAACACACGTGTTGAAGGGTTCAGTATTTGAGCCATGGGTGAGCCAACACTGAGGCTTTGCTCCGGTCCCCGTAGTCATACAGCAGCTCCTCCTCTGCCTTGATCTCTCTGGACGCCACCAGGATCAGATGAGGGCTTCCATCGATGGCATGAAGCCTCGTCTGGCAGTTTCCATTCTTACTGTGGTTGATGAGTCTTCCCAGGCGGCCCGTTTCCTCTGTACCGTCCACACTGTGGAGCGTCAACAAATACAGATCAAGAAGTTAAGAAATGTGCCTTTGTGACCTTACTGCAACTTAAAAGGTCCTCTATTATACTGTTTTTCATCAAAGGTCTACCTTGGTTGGTGATTGGCTAATGGTTACACAAGCCAAAACATCGTTATGACATCATAAAGTGGCCAAAATTTGATCAGCTCATTTTCAGACAGGTTTTTATATAAATGGATCAGGACAAAAAGAGAGAGAATCGTTGTTCCTGAAACTTTCAGAGTCTCTTTACACAGAGGGGACACATGTTGATGTAGAAGAAACATGAAGAAGTGGATTTTGTATAATAGGTGACCTAACTGAGCGTCCACACAGCAGCGTGCGTTGACGCTTGGCCGTGGGCGTGTCTGAAGCTTGGGGAGTAGAACGCGAGCAACGCGACCAACAACCAATCACATGAATCTCCCGCCCCCGACATACAAAGCAAAAGACATTCCATGCTAGCTATACTGTCTATGCCTGCTAGCTGTCCATTCAATGTTAAAACGAGGTACACTGGATATAAACTCCCCAAACAGGCGAAAACCTACCAGTTTCACCCACTATCTCTGCCACCTCCCTCCATGCCTGGCTCCTCCGGTTTGTATCCCGGTAGATGAACAGAGACTGATCATACAGCACCGGGTGATTCACTACCGCAATGATTATTTTCTCCTCCATTTTATGGAACATGTAGAAATGACCTGCGGTATGGCTCTCGCAGCATACACGCGGTTTGATTGGCTAGCAGTGGCAGATTTTCATAAACGGGATTTGATTGGCTGACGCTTCAGTCGAAGCTTCAAAAGTTGAACATCGTTCAACTTTTGACGCGAGCAACGCATAGCTACGCTCCCCACAATGCAGTTCGGCGAAGCGTGACGTCACCCCATTCAAAGTGAATGGGCAGAAGCGTTGAAGCTTCAACGCACGCCGCTGTGTGGATGGGCCGTAATGTACGGAGACAACCAAACACCCGCCCCTCCGTATCCAAAGTCATTGGGGGTAAACTCTTCTCAAATAATACGTTAGCCCACTTAATGAAAAAGCTAAAGCCAAAGCATGTAAATGATAAAAAGTTCTAATAAAGTAATGTTCACAGACTCAATTTACCAACCACAGAGTGTAGGCCTATAATTATTTTAAGATTATTATTGTGTGGTTGATCACCTTAAATGTGATAACCAGCTAATACAGAGACCCAGGGAACATGGGCATAATAGTTATGTAATGCAATTTTAACTAGATAAAACAAAAAAGATAATAAATGAAATAAGTGTAAAGCCACGTGTCAATTATATTTCAAAGTGTTGATCTGCACTCACCAGTAGGTTTTGGTATGATACTGGAAGTAGTACATGTAACAGCCTTTTTGGGGATCCAGAGCGTACTTGGCCTCTCGCTTTTTAGCCTCGGCTAGCTCCAGTAGGTCTCCGTGGTACTCCACGATAAACTCGGCCTTGTTGAAACCCGTGGCAGCAAATATCCCTCTTCCTTTTCCTTCTATGTTTTTGATCTGTCAACATTCACAAGCAACACATTGTCAAACTCTTAATCTCATTGCAGTCAAGGATTTGTCCAAACTAGCAACTAAAAGGTACTATTTACTGACTGCTTAGAATAAAAGAATATGTTCAGGAGAAATTAAATATGTCACAAATATAACTGATGCATGGAAAATACTTCAATGCACAGGTACTACCAGAACGTTACAGACATCAATACATACAATGTAGGTCAAGGACGGTCTTCAAAATGACATATAAAAGACATTTAAAATATTGAATGTTACCTGCAATCCTTCTTCAATGTCATTCTTTATCAGGTAATCAAGGTGTTTGTGTTCTTCACTCTGTTGATAATTTGAGGAATGGAGTCAAAGTCAGACTTTCTGCTAGGGAAAGTGATAAAGTGATAATTCTTAGAGAAACTTTCACAAAAAACTAATTGATATCTTTACTGTAGTTACAACATGTAAATGTATTATCTTGGTGGGAAAGTATTTATGCTATTCACTAACAAATATATAACGTACAGCACTTTACAAACAAACCTTTATCTCTGATTTCGTTTTTCTGTTACTCCGTCTGATCGGATAATAGTCTGTGACCTTCCTGTTTTGAGGAGCTGGATTTTCAGACCTGAAAAGAGAGGAATTGAATACAAATTTGATTGTGCACTAATTTTTTCTTTTTTAATGATGCCCAAAATGTTGTCTTTCTGCACTCACTTTTTTGCTGCTGGTTTGCGACCGGTTTTACTCCGAGGTTTGGCGGCTAGCACCTTGACCTCGGCTGCAGATCTGCCATTTGTGTGTGCCGTTTTGTTCTCAAGTTGTTCAGTGGCTTGCTCTTTGATCCCGTGACTCTTACAACCCATTTCAGCCTTCTGTTCTTTGGACTCACAACTCTCCGATTTTATTTCATTAGGCACTTCTAAAATGAGGACGGAGAAGAATATGATTGACAGCGGTCCTCAACATTTGTCCTCAATCAAGAGAGTGAAGTTCAGGGTTCATACACTTTTTCACCAATGACCAAAAACATTACTCTTTCTCAGCGGTACCACTGAAAATGGTTTATTTTAACATGGAACCGGAAAATAAGGTCTGCATATGAAACATGTTGTGCCTATCTAAAACAAATCAAATAGTAGGCTTACTAGCTTCTACACGCTAAAGCAACTCAAATCTCTCCCCAGCAAAATACCTCGACAGTTAAATGCCATTTTACGTTTCATTACTATACCATACAGTATTTATTATCATTACAGTAATACTATTTCAGCAATTAGATAAAATATAAATTATATTTGATGCAACTTTAGTTACATTTCCATGACTTTTCCAAAACTTTGGGAAAAATATTGTTTTCCATGACTTTTCCAGGTCCTGGAATTTGCATTTTGAATTTCCATGACTTTTCCAGGTTTGTAATGACCGTAAGAACCCTGGAAGTTCCTTTAAAAACAAAATGGCTACGTTAAGTCATAAGACAGAGGGCCAGTGAACACTGCTGCCCTTCACATGCACAGGAAGTATTTCTGTTGGACACGTGGAGCTGCTGACCATCCAAGGTAACACAGGGCTTAACATTAGGTTAAATGGGAGATTGCATGTATTAGAAAAGAACAAACAGCATTACATATCATTTGATTCAATCCTTTTCTTGAAGTTGATTTGTTGCTCACCTTTTTTTAACTTGGGCACGTCGGGGTGGCTGGCTCCACAGTCATTTCCCTCCTGGATCAGCATGCTCGAGCTGTCGCTCAGAGGGGATCTGGGTTTGCTTGGACTCCGTACGCTCAGGAAATTGGTTTGTACTTCACCTACGCTAGTCTACATAAAGAAATGTTGTTTACCGTTATTTAAAAAAAAAAAAAGGACAGACCCTGTATCAGTCACAGGAGTAAACATGTGAGGTGATGTGAATGTTCAGCTAAATCTGACTAGATGCAAAAAAGGACATTTTGTGAAGCTGTGTTTATAACTCTTCATATCTGAACCTAGTATGCATGTGAATTCAAGAGGGTTGTGAACTTGTGACAGTATCAGATTTTCCCTGTAAAATAAATTACCCGTTCTACACTCTTTATCATTATAGATTATGTTTTGAGAAGCATGTTGATGTATAACTACATTATGTTAGTTTACATGTAAGCAGCAGTAGCGTGTTAAATTAACTACATCAGCTGAGCTTCATAATAATGTCATGATTATTATGAATAACAATTAAAGTAGGTGCTGCGTCTCACACGTACAAGGTGTTTTGTTATACTGTAGATAAGCAAATGTACAGGATATGAGACGTTGAAGACTTCACCGCTCTGCCTGCCAACTCAAAAGTAACAACTTTGTACTGTTAGTGTATGTGCTGCTTATAAGCAAATGACAAACAGCTGTGGAGAATCGCAATATTACAATGCAAACACTGCAATATTAGTGTAAAAAACTGTTACAAGTAAAAGTCCTGGATTTGAACATCTCAACCCCTTAGTATGCATAGTGACCAATTTCAGAATAATTTACATTATATTATTGGATCATGATTGATGCCTCTGTATGTACAACACTTTTAAGTTGCAGCTTGTAAAGACTGGGCTTGATTTAATTACCCTATAGACCCAACACAATTCGCAAAGTAACTACTAGAAAATAAATATTTAACATGCATGTAGTGGAAAAGAAGAAGAAAGCAGCATAAAATGGAGAAACGGTTGTTCTTAAGTACAGTTATCTAGGCACCCTACGCCAATAGCAATAGAGTACAGCGGTTTCTTACTACATCTGAACCGGACCCTATGGTTGGATATAAGGGGCGGTGAAGTTTGGTGTAGATTTCGGCGGAAATGCTCAAGTCTGAGTCTCCAACAACGATAAGCTGAGGCAGGCCAGGGCCCTCTGTGACCGTAACTTGATGAGCTAGCACAAAAAGTGAGAAAAAGCCATTCTTATTTTGGTTGGGGAACACAAAACATACCTTGTTTGTTGCCGGTTTGTTTTCCTTTGTCTCCCCCCGAGAAGGGACTTTATTTTCAACAGTGTTCTCGGTCTTTTTGTCGGTCCTCAGCACACCTTGCTTCCCTTTAAAAACATGGAAACGAATACACGTAAACACAGCGGTCTATTTTATCCTACATTTTACGAAAGCCGACAATTAATTAACCAGCTGCATGCATTTGAAAAGTTGCACGTAATTTACGCTTGGTAGCATTGGCTACACATTAACTGCTGAAGCTTGTGTGACATGCAACAATTAATGAAACATAAAAAACACTTTAAAAAGTTTACCTTTTGCCATGTCCGTGTCAGGATAAAAAAAAAAAAAAAAATGAGGAGTCTATTTAATGTTGCTGCCCTCGGGGTCCACGGGCTATTCACTGTGCTTAGCTCAATGCTTCTGCAATACAAATGTCATACAACTACTGAGCGAAGTAGAGCATGAGCGCGTGGGGGATTTAAAAAAAACTGTACTGCCTCTCTCATTGGCCAATTGGTCCGGGGGGAGTAAACAAGTAATAAAGCAGTTCTCTCATTGGCTCGTCACACCGTCAACGTCCGAAGTGTATTCTTTTAAATAATTAACCTTCCCCTAACTGTATTTTACTATTGTATACACTTGACTATTTGGACGTGTTCACATTTTGAGTAAAAAACGTAGTAATTCTAACATGATAAATATAACACTGAATTATTTGTAAACCTAATGATTTTATATGATCAATATTACATAGTCTACGAAGAGGGTAGGTTCATTTAAAATGAATAATGACTGTTTGGTGAACTCGTCAAATAATAATATTTATTATATTTTGGATTGTTAAGTGTATCTATCCCAATTATATATTTATATTATAATAATAATAATAATAATATTATATATTTTTGTTTATAATTATTTTTAATTCATATTCTTGTTTTTCTGCACCAATGTGTGTACATGCTTTTTCATTATTAAAATCAGAAGAATGTAAACTTCAAAAGATGTTACTTAAGCACAGAGAATGATTAGTGTATAAACAAAATACAAATATGAATCCTTTGATCTTTTATGTTGTTTTATGTCCCAATTCATGTTTTTATTTTTATTTTTCAAGCATTGACAGAAGCACAACACAGAGCCAACATGTTTTACTATATTTGGTTTCTTTATTATTTTCCCCCACTTGCTTTACACCAAAAGGCCAACGTGATTTAGAACAGCTAACAGTGACTTTCCAGGTTTTGTTATTCAGTCTTTGTAAGCATGGCAAAGAACCTTACACGTATTGATTTTATATTCCACACAAACATTTTTAAACTGTGTCCTCTCCAGGTTTGGAGTCTGCAGCAAGCCCTTCTTTAAAGAGTCTTTTTCTCTCCAGGTTCTCATTTGCCTTCTTTCTCTTCTCTTTTTTCCTCAGCTCAGACTCTTTCTTCTTTACAACAACTTCACTGAGGTCTCCTTTAAAAACAACATCCAGCCTCAGTCGCATTATTTCCCGAGCACGCTTTCGATTTGTATCCACAGATCTGGTTTGATGGCACTGCAGGGGAAATGGTACAATAATTAAATGAACATTGTTAATTAAAACACCAACTTAAGGCTGAATCAGTAGCTATTCTGGGGCTTTCATGCATCATGATTTTATGTTATTTTTCAGGAAAGGCACAACTTCACTGTGATTTTCAACTTTTAAGCCAACATCAGAGTGTCTGCGGGGTCTTAAAAGTATTGAAAGTTGATAAATGAATTTAGCAAAAATTAAGGCAATTAAAAAGGATTAAACGGCATTTTCTAAGGTATTGCATTTTGTAGCTTGTTTTCAATAAGTATATACATTGTCCAAAGAGGTTTTATTCTACAGTTTGCCTGAATGTAATCATTGCGTAGGTGTGTAGTGTGATTCTGTGTAGTTTATTTATGGCATCCCGTTGGATTTGACGTCATCTGAACAGGACATCGCTCGCTCACTGCTTGATAGCGCGCAAAGGTCCGTTTACGCCGGTTGTTAAACAACATCGTTATGGGGAAATGCAAGTTTGCGTCCAAATGGTTGGAAGATAAGGAGGAAGGACAATCAATACTGCATAGTAAATGTGAGGTAAAGTGAGGTAAAGTGTGTCACCAATGTAACCGGTTGAAACTCGAAGTGGTGATGAGGTCTTAAAATGTATGAAAAAGGTCTTAAAAAAGGTATTACATTTGACTTCAGGATTCCTGCATATACCCTGAACATGGACAGAAAGTCCTTAGAATTTAACATTATCTTCAACTTCCATTCATTTCATTTCAAACCTTTATTTAATCAGATTGGTCCCATTGAGATCATAGATATATTTTTCAAGGGAGACCAACACCATTACAATCAACATCTGTAGAAGAGCATACTATGACAAAAGAGCACCAGAAAATGTATTACGTGGGCCTCTATGTTAGACTTAGAAAGATAAATAGATAGATACTGATAGATATTGACCCCATAGGGAAATTATTTTTGTTACAGCAGCATTGTGTTCATACATTAACATATTTAAAAAGGTGTTATAAAGTATTAACATTAATAAAAAAAACAGCAAATAACTTATAAACAGTAGAAAAAATATATATACACAAATAATACACAATATATTAATTATTCTGGATAAACTAAAATGTTTGGCATAGCAGAACCATAGGATCAAAAACATGAATGACTATTACAATAGATGTATTAGTCAACTGAGATTCTCATCGTTTAGATAACTCTTATTTGGGTAAACAATTTCTTTTTTGTACTAGTGATAAACTAGTGATGACAGGATTAATAAAAAACAAGATTTACCTTCACAACAGTGCCACTGGGGATGTGTTTGAGCACCACACAGTTGCTGGTTTTGCTTGTAGCCTGTCCTCCGGGTCCAGATCCTCTCACAAACTGCTCTTCAAACTCATCCTCATTCAGGACAGGCAGATCTATCAGGTTCTTTTTACCTGCTGCCAAAACACATGGCAGTCCTGCAGGGTTTGACCTGAGAAGTAGAGAGACACTGGGAGAAACTCTTCCTGTTATGACCCGACTGGATATGTTGTGCACACAGCTGATGAAGGGGAGAAGCCGCGACATTTCTTTAAATAAACAAACACAGTAACAAACAGCATTACACTACGTTGTGTGTCATCAAACAGGATACACGTATATCAATGTTTAACAGTAGGCTATAGCATTTTCCTATTTGTTTCACGGTCACGGTGAGACTCTGCTCATGTTTATGTTTAGTCCTCTCTTCTTCTACGTTTCCGCCTGTCGCCCAGTAGTCAATTTCTTCTTCGTGGCTAGAATAGCAGGGTTGTCTTTACCTGCTGCCGCCATCTTGTGTCGATTGGCTGGAAAACCGAAAACCCCACAGCAGGTAGGAAACTGCAAACATGTTTTTTAATACGTTAGTTGGCTTTTTGAGTTTGAGTTTCCTTAAATAATCTTTTATTTGTATTTTTAAAATGCATTATTGTTTGTGAATGTCATGTTGGTCAAGGTTGGAAATTACCTAGACAATTTAGCAGGGCCGTGTTTACAATGGCGAACTGTTGCCTCCCTCATAACTTAATTTAACCATACACGGTTACACTTGTATCACAACAACTCTTCGATAGTACAGACATCTAACAGACACAGCTACATAGGTGAATACATTAACTAACTACATTTACTAAAGTACTGTACAATGTTGAGGTACTTGTACAGTACTTCAGTATTTATATTGCATGCTACTTTATACTTCTACTCCACCACATTTAAAAGGGAAATAATGTTATTTTACCCCTCTACATTTATGTAACAGCGTTAGCTACATTTAACAAAAAAGCATCTCTAAAAATGTAACTAGTGGTCTTACTCTTTAGGTCACAGAAGAGTGAGATTATTTAAATAACTTACAAAAAGTTAATCAGAACTTTGTTTGTCTACAACAGTAAAATGCGACTTAATGCCACAATATTATCTAGAATGTCACATATATTATAAATATTATTATACACACACATAAAGGCAATTTTTCTGCACAATAATCGCTTTTACTTTTTATATTTTAATTACTTTGTGATGATAATACTTTTTTACTTAAGTAAGATTTTGAATGCAGGACTTTTGATTATTTTGAGAATAATGTATTGGTATTTTTAATCAAGTAAATATCTGAATACTTTTTCAAGCACTGCAGGTAGGCCAACTAAACTTGTCATAAATAAACAAGTAACTTTTAGGTAAGAAAATGTAATGTAATTTAATTGGGAGCACAGTCTAACGATTTAAATTGTTTTTTTTTCTTTGGTCCCAAATATATCCGAATCTCTTTTTTGGACCATGAACATTTAAATGTAATGGCATAGCTTAAATTAATAACATTTGTGAATTTAACCAAACAAGGACCTACCCAGTTAAAATCGATCGATTAGACTTAATGAAACTTCTTAAACCTTATTGATGAAGCACCCTTGTTCACCATTTTAATAATTAACAAACGATCAGATGTGACAAAAAAACGAATCCCCTCCCAGTACTTTACTGTGTATGACCTGGATATTCACATTAATTAAGCTATATATTCACATGTAAAGATAAATAAACAGAGGAGACAATGATGATCATTCACACTTATTACAAAAATATTTGTTTTACATATCATTGCATTGCTTTACATTTGAAAAAATATAGTTGTAAAATGTTATAACCTACAGTAAAAGCCTACATTTTAGTCCATTATTGCTAGTAGCGCCAAACACTTGTGGAAGGTGAACATACTGTTGTAGTTTCTAAAGGTTTCCTTAAAAGTTGTAATTAATGTTAAACCTTAAGTCCGTCTAATGTTTAGGCTATATACATTTACTGCAAGAATGGTCTCATATTAACAAATGGACCGATCTGTAACACTTCCTGCTCACTCCCTTGACAATGACTCAGGAAACTATGTAGGTCACCAGGAAAAGACAATCTCTCTGATGACCTGTGACGACATCTGTCTCATATTGGGGGGATGGGGGAGGTGCATTTCTAATTACTTACTTTGTCTTTAGTGGTCACATTAAAACTGACCTTCATTTTGGTACAACATAACCATTATATGTCATTTGTATGGTGATCTTGCAAAGGACGTAAAAATGTTCAACCTATTGAACTTGAGTATTTTCACATAATGCTACTTTATACTCCACTACATTTTGTAAGTTTGTACGTTTTTTTTTAGATATTTAGTTACTAGCTACTTTACAAATGTAGCTAATTAATACAAAAATATTTGAAGAAATTTGAATGCTAATACTTTTACACTTTTACTTAAGTACAACTTTGAATGCAGTATGTTTACTTGTAACTGAGTATTTTTACATTGTAGTATTGCTACTTTTATTTAAGTAAATAATGTGAGTACTTCTTCCATCTCTAGATGTAGTAGTATTGGTGTAAATATTGTGAAGAGCTGTGCACAACAAATAATTTACTGACAACAATTGTTATACAAAAGTATATATTAGTATTAGTATAGTATAAGTCTGAATATAAAGTGCGTCCGGTTCGAGTCCTGATCGACCAAAAAACCCACGGAGTGGACTGGTAGCTAGAGAGGTGCCAGTTCACCTCCTGGGCCCTGCCAAGGTGCCCTTGAGAAAGGCACCGAACCCCCAACTGCTCCCCGGCGCCGGCTAGACTGACAGCCTCTTCGCTCTGGCCCTCTCCAGCATGTGTATTCTGTAATGTGTGTATAACTGTGAGTGTTGCATGTGCATGTGTGCACCTACATGTATACTGTGTGTGTATTAATACAAGCCAGAGTGAAACACTGAATCTCCCCATAGGCCCTAGGCCTAGGGGGATTAATAAAGGTTAATCTTCTTCTTCTTCTTCTTCTGCTTATGCTTTTAAGCTCTGCCCGCGGACATCTGTATAACCACCTGTAATACCAGTTAACATGTAGTTTTACAGGCCTACCATATACTGAGTTGCCAGGAGGGGGTGTCCTAATATCTAAACTGTTTATCTGAGTGGCTGCAAGAGTCTCAGCTTTGTCAAGCCAGCAGAAGAAAGAACAACACCTGTAAACAAGTGACTAATCCTTCACAATAAACACTAGTGTCCAAATGTTGTTATTTTAATATGTCACTGTACACTTTCAATCTGGATAGCAAGCACAGCAATCTAAAGCTGGCCACACCTCTAACCCTTAGATCAGGGGTTCCCAAAGTGGGGGTCGCGAGACCCCGAGTGGGGATCGCGAGATGATTACAAAATAAAAATGGAAAATAAAAAAAAAAAAAATTATAAAAAAAAATTGATTAATTTTTTTTATAATAAATTTTTTTTTTTTATTATTATAACCTTTGCATAGACATTTTCAGGGGCGTACTAGCCATCTGTATAATTTGACAATCCACTAGCGCAGTGTTTCTCAAACTTCTTCATACCAAGGACCACTTAACCAATAAAAACACTCATGGACCACCTAACTCCACAAATATCCAAAAACAATAGGCCTGATTACCCATTCCAACAGTATATAACAAATTACAGCCTAATAATGACAGCTTAACCTTCTCTATATCGCCTCGTTCACCCATTAAATCAACAATACAAATACAGATTGCATTTAGTTCAAATGCGATTTAAAATCCTCTCAGGTTTTACACCTCTTATTATGAAATGTAGACTACATTTATTATGTAGTATTATTTTAAACACGAGTTTATGTCCGAGCGAACAGACTCACAGATTGTTGGCTACTGAGAGATATGCAAAATACACCGCATGTAGTACGACACAAACATCCGCTGTGGATTTTCAAAACGTTGGTAACGTAACTGATTTCTTCTAATGTGCCTGCCTGCATCTGGCGCTGAGTTGCCATATTCCTTTCATGAACCACTTCCTGATATCCATTGTTGCAGATAAATATAAATGATAATAGCCAAACTAACCTAGCAAGAGTAAACTGACAGGCTGCTGTGCCGCATCTCACTCAAAAACCCACACGACTCAACCCAGCGAAAAACCAGTCTCGCGCGCAGCCTTTCATTCAGAATTTCATTCAGAATTTCATAGCAAAATAAAAAAATTATATTAAACTAATCTTTCAACATAGTTCAAAACAAAAATAAATATTAGGACAGAGCCCTACAAATAACAACCATAAACATAATAATAAAACAATTAAAATGTTGTATTCAGCCCTGATTAAACCCTCCCCCCCCCCGCCTGGCTCGAGCACAGCAGACCCACTAGCTGGCGGAAGCCCTTTCGAAGTGGTTCATGAGCCCATGCGTTACGCGAAACACCGGTCACTGCACAGCGTCTAGCTAGACAAAAGCGCGGTACGCATGAAACGATGGAATACACGTGGGACCTATACGCCCGATGGCACGATACAAAACCGGGCGAATGAGACATGGAGCAGCAGAACTGGTGGTTAGGTCTCAACTCTGGGCTGGTAGGTCTACTATTATTACGTTAATCGAGTG